ATGAGATCATTCATTGACCTGTCGCAGATCTGAAGTCAGTTCATCTTGAAGTTTGCCAACTGATAAATAAATCCATACGTAGAACAAAAGGATTCTAACAGGAGAGTTTTCTTCAGAGGAAAACTAAACCACGTCGTCTCATATGTACACCTGAGTTGATCGGAGGCCACGTTTCCGCTTCAGCTTTGATATTTCTCTAAAATGTCAGCCTCCTCCCTCGCACTTCTGGAGGTAAGTGGAAATGTAAAAAGAAGAAAAACACAACCTGCCAGCTCGTTTTTTTTTTAAGACCGGAAAATTGAAAAGGAAAGAATAAATTAAAGGTGTGTTGCTTGAAGTGGTTGTCAGGCCATCAGGCCGATGGAGCCACCTGTGGTTGAGGTAATGTAAAATGTGTCAGGTAGACCCTCTTTCATCTGATTGATCCCACTCGTTCAGCTCCGTTTGTCACAGAAAACACAATGAGCGTCACGCAGCGAGCACAATCAAAGTCCTTCATCGAGTGTTTTCTTAAAGTTCGGGGGGGAAAGGTTCAGGTGAGGGCGTTATTGTTTCCGCTTCCTGGCTCCAGAAAGGAACAGAAGCAGTGTCATTATATTCTCATTATTCATGCACTTCACACCCGTTGACTAAGTGTTCATGTAAAAGGTTGTCACACCAACTCAGTCCACACTCACATGTGCCAGGCTTTTTTTGTATTTCTGCATCTTTGGCACAAAACAAAAGGGCATCGGCGAACATTCAGAGACTCGATCAACCAACAATTAAAATCAGAAATACAAAAATAAAAAAACCTTTTTTTCTTGACCTTTGGGGATTTGCCTTGGGGAAATCTCCGGGGTGGGTCGTGTAACTGACTGACACGCTCTGTGAGGAATCTAAAAAGGTGATTTGCAGACATTCCTTTTTTTTAAGGCTGCAGCAAACACAGTTGAGTTTAGATGAGATATATATGGCTGGAAAATTCCTCCTGGAGTTCAGAGAGATTAGAGTTTGGAAACAGAATCCTGCACACTGTCATCTGCACCTGCAAATGTGGTACATTTAGTCAGAACAGCATGGCACTGCAGAAACCTTCGTCACTTTGCAGGACAATAAGCTTTCCTCTAATTAGATACGTTGATGCATGTTATATCTGGAGGTTATGAACATTGTAATACTCTTCTTCCCATGTAGAGAAAACATATCTACAACAGATAATATTTATAAACTTACTTTACTTGGACAGCTTGGAGACAGAGGCTGAGAGCAGGATAAGGGGCAAAAAAAAGCGGCAACCTCCGCTGTTGAAAAATGAAGCCAATGCGGAAGTGAAAGAAAAGAAGCAGGATGTGAGGGTTCAGGTTTTAAAGGTCACATATTCTCCTCCTTATCAACCAGTTTAAATAAGTCTCAGAGCTCCTCAAAACATGTGTGTGAAGTTTCTTGTTCTAAATCCACTCTGATCCTGTATTTGATCATGCCTATAAACCCCTCTATTTCAGCCCTGCTCAGAAGAGGCTGTTTCTGTGTCTGTACCTTTAAATGTAAATGAGCTGTGTCTGACCACGCCCCCTCTCTGGAAGGGCTTGAGTGTCTCTGGCTTTCTCGCTCCATGTCCTATTGTTTACGGTGAGAAGGCAGACTCAGAGGGCAGAACAAACACCTAGCTGTGGGAGTGTCACCCACCTGGGGGAGGGTTTACTGCCCTTTGTGATGTCATGAAGGGAAAATCTCCAAATGGCCTGTTTGAGCACACATTTTCTGAAAAGTGGAGCAGGCAAAAGATGGAGAGGATGGACTTTTCTCATCATTGGGGGGTTTGTAGACAGACTAGAGATACATATTTGTGTTACAGAAACATGGTGAAGTGGATTTTATTTTTCATATTATTTGACCTTGAATGTAAGATTTGAGACTAGTACGATGAAAAGACTGAAAATAAATCTTACACAGGTTAGGAACTATTTCCAGCTGCGGATGAATACACATTTGGTGTTGAGTACTTCACCAAAGGACAAAATGATTTGAATGATGCTGGGCGTTTGTGTTTTAATAATTAATAAAGTTTAATGACACAGAGGAACAAACTCCATCAGAAGTCAGGACATTAGTGTTGGTCAAATACAGCTGAGTTAAAATACTCAAAGAAGAGATTAATAGTTTAACATTAAGTTTACAAAGGAGCTTAATGAGTTTGTGAAGTTGTCTGCTCCATTTTTAAAAACCTAATCATGTCATGAGGAGTGTCAGACAGCCGAGCCAAACACTTTCCTCCCGCTGCGCCGACTGACAGCTTTAATGGAAGAAAACCCTTTTACACATGCAGAGATAAATGTTATAATAATAAACACTTTTCTCTGAGGGGAGCTTTTGACTCTATTTGAAGACAAACTAACAAAGAAGTTAAACTGAACTTACACAGTCAACAAGAGTTGTTCTCTGAATGTTCCGAACATTCGATGAAGCTGCTGAAGATGACCGGGAGATCTGTGAGATTATTTCCCATCATGCTCCTGTGCAGTTAGGTTAACTGGTGACTCTGATTTGTCCGTAGGTGTGAATGTGAGTGTGTCTGGTTGTCTGTCTCTACATGTCAGCCCTGTGATAGACTGGCGATCTGTACAGGGTGTAATGCCGCCTCTCGCTCAATGACAGCTGGGTACGGCTGCAGCCTCCCACGACCAGACCCCGATGGAAAGATGTATTTGTGTAATGGGATGTGTGGTTATCTCAGGGTTGACTGAGGTGGAGGGGCCCAATGTGAAATCTGAACTTCATGTGGGGTCGTTGAATCGTTTTTATCCGTCTGTCTGTGGAGGAAGAAAAGCTCTTTCTGTTCCTCTTTTACAAACCGACACTCGTCCAGCTTCCTCTTTTCACATCCTGTAAATCAGGCCATGAAGAATCTGGGTTTTTTTTTTAGGATCCCCAAACTGAGCTGCACACTATTTAATCACCTCCAACCACAGATCACCTGCTGAGGAGAGCAGCACACACACACATAAAACCTTCAGACACATCAGAAATACTTTTGATTTCTCTCTGCCTCTTTGTTCTGATTCGTTATTTTCTACCCATGATCCTCTGCTGATCGACTTCATTCAGAGAAGAACCCGCTCCCTGCAGGACCGGTTAAACTGGACGCCACATGTGGACGTTTAATGAGGCACCGTGTCTTTGTTATGGAGCACAGAACTGACCGAGGCGCTGTTTACAGTGGACTGAGAATTCAGAGTCACTTTACAGGGAATAAAAAGCTACCCAGAATGCTTTGCAAGAAAACAACGGGTATTAAGAAAACAACGAGAAATAAGACGGTGTCTGTCTGACTTTTGAATTCACTACATTTCTGTGCTGAAGTAACATGCAGGATAAGCTCCATCTTCTGTCCGCTCCGTCTCTGATTCATGCCATCAATGACCAGTAGCTCTTAAAATGTGACGCTTTAATGAGTACACCACTCATTGAAAAAAACAAATCACCCATCGGGTTGTGCACTCTGTTTTGAAGCTTCGAGTTTGGCATTTTGGTTGAGGTGTCTTTGTTTTCTGGAGCCACAAGTGACCTCCAAGAGCCCGATGTAGTGACCACATCTTACTGAAGATGTAGAGGGGGGAAAGGAGCGAGGAGTGAGGGAAAGTCAAGGTCTGCAGCAAACCAAGCCAGCGGGAAAAAACCCCAGAGTCCCTGCACAGGCCAGTGAGCAAGATAACAACCAGGTATAGTGAGCACAGACACCGACAGCTATTAGTGCTAACATGTAAATTAAATAAAGTTAGAATTTGACTGATTGTAAAAAGAGGAGCTCAGACTCGTCTCAGACATCGGGTGTGATGTAACGGTTTGTAAACATTAAGCCGTATGACACCAATCACACATTCATAACTCTTGGCCTTTGTTTCTGTCTTTGATTCTTCCTGTTTCTTCTTGTTTGTCAGGAATGAGACTGGTTTGTCACACCATCGCACTGATTAAAAATAAGGAGGATCACTTATTACTTGATTTACTTCGAGGTTGAAAAAAGCCTGGACAGCTCTCACCAGTTGGGGTGGCAGTAGCTTGGATTTGGGTTAGGAACTGGAGGGTTGCCGGTTCAAGTCCCGGTGAGGATATAGAAGTTGTTCTGGTAGAAGGAGAGATGCCAGGGCACATCCCGACTACTGCTGAGAAGAACAAGGCACTGAACCCTGAACTGCCGTGGTGTGCTCCCTGTGTAGCAGCCCCACTCTGACATCTCTCCACACATCCTGTTTGTGTATGTGAGAAGCATCTCAATAACAGTGTGTAAATCACAATTTCCCTCAGGGATTAATAAAGTATTTCAATATCAAAAAAAAAAAATCAGTAAGTTTTCAGCTCCGGGTTAAATTGTGTAAAAAGTGCGACATGATGTAAATAAAGACAGGTTCTTCTTTATTGACTCATAAAACATCCTTCAAACATAAACCTATGTCAGGTAAGGTCTCTGTACAACGCTTACTAAGCAGTTCATTTATATAGAAAAGGTAGGAGGCGGTGTTGAAAATCACAACGCTCCTTCAGATTTAATGGCAGGTACTCTGGGAAAAAAAAAAATGACAGCATTCCATCAACAAATATCTTCAAGCAATAAATATGCATTTATAAATAGTGAAAATTTACATTAAAAAAAACAAAAAAAAAACACAAATTAAAGTTCACTCTTCTGTCTGCCTGTGTGCAACCCTTTTATCTCCGTGTCGTGGCTGTGACATGTTCTCCTTTTCTGTAAATCAAAGAAACGCTTCAAAAGTCCGGGAACATAAGGATTTGAAAAAGGATGTGAAGAAGGAGTCACTCGACTGTTCACATTACAAAACGTCTTGTTTTTCCTGACTGAGGAGGATGAGGAGGAAGAAGAAGGAGGAGGAAGAGGTCTCTATCTAACCAGCTATGCTAAATAGTCGTCTCATGAAAAAGGGGGGGGGGGGGGGCCAAGCTCTCGCGTCGACTCACAAGCGGAAAAAAACGGAAAAAGAAAAGTCAGTAGTCTTTGTGTGAAACAGAATATGTACAAAACTTTAATTCATCATTTTTCGTTGGAGTATTTTTGTGTTTTCTGGGCCAGCAGGAGAACAGTCTGGTCATGATGGGGGGGGGGGGGGGGGTCATACCGCTCTGGACAGGTTGCATAGACACACAGCTTTCACACAGCTGCCTTATGGGAGAGCTAAAGAGCGCCGTTTGAGGACCGCCAGGCTCACTTCCTGAATGTCGGAGAAGAACAACAAAATGTTTCCGGAGAGTTCTGATTGTGGTTGAGACGGTGGAGGCATCAGGAGGACAGGGAGGAGGAGGAGGGCAGGGGGCTCGCCTGTGAGGAGGAGAGGAAGAGCACACTGAGCTCATTCCACCGTTAAACGTCTCAGACTGACACACCGTTGGTTTTTATCGATCACACTTACGAGCGTGAACTGGTCGTAAACCTGCATGAGGTCGTCGATCCTGTACTGCTCCAGCACCACAAAGTTGTCCAGGTTAGAGCTCCCCCTGCGGGCACAGTCCTGACAGTGCACCACGTACGTTTTTCTGCTGTTGCTCTCGCTGGTGACGAAGAGCAGGTCGAACACCTCCACCTGCGCAGAGAAGACATGAAGGTGATGAGGAGGACACTTTTTTTTAAAAAAGTACCAAGCTCCTAAAAAATAGTTGTGCTTTTTTTTCGATGTAAACGTGTGGAATATTTAAAACACTTCTCTTCCACCTTTATTGTCATCGGACCAGTGCAAGTACAACGAGACGTTGTTCAGCATTCAAACATATTTAAAAAAAAAAAACTTTAAAGGATCAATCAGTAAGCTGTGTAGTGAGTGAAATGATAAAGTGACCTTACTATATGATCAGACATTAAGGAAACATGCTGTGTTGAAGTGCTGGCTTCTCTGACAACAATGCAGCAGTCAGTATGTCCTCCTTCTAACTTTAGATTCTGGTCCTGAATGCTCTGGATTTGTTTGGACCAGAGAAGGTAGGCGGTTTTAAGGCACCCGCACACGGCCGTTTTGGATGCCCCTCGGTTTACCGGATATGAGAGCAGTTATCAGGTCAAACCAACAGGTGTTGCAGCGATGGAAGCGGGCAAGAGAACTGGTTCAGATAGAAGTGATTGTACCCGACCTAAAAAGCCTCTGCATGTTTCTAATAAGCTCCACGAGCAGAAATGTGCTCAAACTAGGATCAATATTGGAGATGCTTTTTGAAAAATGGAGAGAGGTTAGAACGCAGAAAGGTTTACAGACAGATGCAGAGCTGGATAAACACTGAAGCTTCAGTGTCCACCACATGACAACCTGCGTGAGCATCGACTCTAGAGAGGAGGGGGGGAGACAGCTCTCTGTAATGTTTAGAATCTGGACTGCAGTACCCATTTTAAACACTAGGTGTCAGAGTTACATATTGCTCCTTAAGGTGCAAAGCAAATATTAAGTGAAATATACTGTTTTAAAAGAATGTGCAATGAAAGTCGCAGACATTTATGTGTGCATTTAAGTTGGTAGTTTGATTTAGAAAACAAACTGAGTAGTTACAGTAAGTAGAAAATGGTGCTAATAAGAAAACTTACACAGGTGATTATTAGTACTTTAAGTGCAAAAGACGAGGAAGGAAAGCAACCTTAGTCTGAGCTATCTGTTCTCATCAAGTGATGCACAGAAGAAGAAGATATAGTGTGAAGTGAGTTAAAGTAATAATACGGCTTTAAGATGCTGCTCCTTCTGTTTTTTTTGTGAGGCATTTTTATAACATTGGAATATACAGAGAAGTTTGTCCCATTGTTCTCATACAGGCACATCATTAAGAAGTACATCCTGCTGAAAGATAAGGCTTCCATTTTTCATAATTCCATTTCCGGCTATATCCACTGTCCTGTCTCTCCATTAAAAAGGCACAAAAAGCCCAAAAATAAATCTTTAAAAACCTGCAGACCGGGCAGAAGCCGAGGTCTGAGGACGCCGAGGTTCAGCGGAGAGGATGTCGCTGTGTTTTTGTGTTCTCACCTCACAGATGCTGCAGTAATGAGCCGGCTCGTTCTGCGTCCGCCCGTGCCACACCAGCTCTTTGCCAGCATTCAGCAGGAGCTCTCTCTGCATCTGACACTGCTTCAGAGTCCGCAACAAACAATACCTGACACACAGAGAAACACACAGGTGAGGAGTGTTCAGAAGTAGGTTCTCAAAATTGTCAACACTTTGGTTAATGTGCAATTTTTGGTAATTAAAAACAAGAAGTTACTCAATATCGGGCGTCTATTTTGGTTGCCATGGTATCAAGCAGGTCTCTATATTGTTTGATTTTCCTGACTCTCATACTGAAGTTTAAAATTCTGGTATTCTCAGAACACTCGTCTAAGAAAACAGTAAAAAGCGAGTTCTCACTTGATCATCTCGAAGAGCTTGTGGTCGGACACTTTGATGTTCCTCGCCATGTTCCAGGAGAGGTGGATCATGGGAACGATTGACTTGACGCTCTGCAGCTTGTTCCACTCGTAACGCTCCACTGCCAGCTTGTACTGATGAGCTGAGGAGAAAAAGAAGAGAGACGAGCTCCTTTAATACCTGAACATCATGAATTCATCCAGCAGAGGTTCACGAGGCTCTCGGGCCACACACCCTGAAGCCGCCTCCAACCTGCAGGTCATTCTGCATTCTCTCACCTGTGAGGGGCCCGACGTTCCACGCGATGTTGTTGCACCAGCCGATGGCCTGAACCCAGTGAATGGTTCCTGTGTTGAGCCACACCAGGTCCCCCGGGCGCTGGATGAACCGGTAAACAGGCACGTTGGTCTCATACAGGTCCTCCAGGTTGGGCCACCAGGATCCCATCAGGAAGTTGATGTTGTTCCTGTGAGGGGAGGGAAACAAAGAGTGTCAGCTAAGAAACGTAAAGGATAAAACGTCCCTGTTAAACCCTTTTTTTTTTAAAAACAGATTTTGAGGTCTAAGTGGCTAAAAAGTTTTGAATGTCTTGGAACGAACTGCACAAAAACATTTTAGCACCAAAGTGTTGCCAACAAACTCCTGAAATTACCTTCCTAAAAACTCTACTTTTGTTGCCGCGGTATCAAGACAGGTCAGTATGCTGTTTGATTTTTACTTCAATCATATTGAAGTTAGTACATCTTAACAAGTAGCAGTCATCACTTTCTGTTTCATTGCTGCTGGCTGAAGAAATACAAAACGTTTTGTTCAGATCCATCATGTAGAATCAAAAGTAATTCAAAGACAGCTAAGGGTTAAAAATATCCGGAGTCCTGATTAAGCATGATGTCATTCAGGGTCATACTTTTCACAGAAGTCGTTGATGACGCCCCAGTACGTCTCCGGCACAGCGAACCACTCGCAGTCTCCGGGGACCGATGTTGATGTTGACTGAGCAGAAGTTGTTGTTCTCTTGGTGACCTTCAAAATAAAAGCACCGGGTTAGTGACAAAGAAGAGACGAATGAAAGAGCAGATGCCGGTCGATTAGAGTTAATATACCTGGAGTCCTGCTCCCCGGCACCTTCATGTAGAGCTGCACCGTGTTCATGCCCAGGATGGTGTGACCCACGTGGCTCAGCAGGTTACCTGCCGACACCACCCGGGCAAACGCTGGAAGTTTGGACAACTCCTGAAGCTGCGGTTTCCACCTGAACAGGAAGCAGGACACAGATTATCATGAGACTGTGGAGGCCGGTCAACAAGACAGAAAAGTGCAAAAAGATTCAAACAGTCACTCACTTCTTCTCGTCAGAGAGTTCGATGTTGGTGCCAAACTTGAGGTGTTTGAAAGGACCTTTCCTGCGCCTGACGCCAACAGAGAAAGTCAAGTCATTAGTTAGAAGTGAAGAAACCTACTGTAAAAACTGAGGGCGGGACAGAAAGGAGGAGAAAGAAAGTCACCTGTCTGAGGATCCCGCTTCTGCTTCAGTCTCCTTCCTCTTCTCGTTCTCCTCCTGTTCAAACAAACACGTGCAAAGAGTCACTTCTCATCCTTGTTTACATGAAAGACACAAAGCAGGACGATCTTCAAGGACAGCACATCCTTCTGTGTGTGTGTGTGTGTGTGTGTGTGTGTGTGTGTGTCTCTCACTGACCCTCAGAGACTCCTGGAAGGACGAGGCCTGGTACTGAGCGTATTTGATGATGGTGGTGTGTGAGCGACTGCTCTCGCAGCGCCACATCTTCCTGCTGCCGCTCGGGTCCCAGTTCTCGTCGGTGGGCTGAGCGAGCTGCGTTCTCACCTCCACCATGTGATCCGGGTTCGCCTCCACCAGCGTCTTCGTGGAGAACAGGCCCAAATCTGTGGAACAAATTACATTTTGAAGGATTTCTTTAAACTTGTTAAACCTAAAAGCATGTTTTAGTTTTCACAGCACCCGGAGAAAACTGTCACCTGGAACTTTTTTTTTTTTTTGTTGTTGCTGTTTTTCAGTTTTCTTTGAAAATGTTTTTATTGCTCTGCAGGCTCACGTCCTTAACCACGTATGGGAGCCAAGAGATTTCATTGTGAGGTAGATTCTGACCAACGATGCAATGAGGAAAGCGAAAAAAGACATGACATGAAAAGTCCAGCTCAAACACTGCGTCTGTAAACACTAGGTCTACCCGATACTGTTGAAAAACCGACGCTGCTTTTCTGGAAGGCAGTGGGACAAAGTTTGGGTCGGGAGGTTGAACATTTCACAGCTATGTTTTCAAATCCATTTGGACAGACTCAGCAGACTACCACATCTTTGTTCTTATGACCTCCGTGGGGAGTTAGGAACATTTTGGCTGCTGACAGAGACATGTGGGTCACATTTGAGAGTTTGGAATAATTAACATTTTATAAAAAGATCACTTTTTTTTAAAGGTTATCAGCAACAATTTTAAGGTTATTTATTGTTTTGTCTGTCACCGTACATTCTGTTTAAAACGCTCCTAATGCCACATGTTTAATATCAGATACAGCAGGTTAAGATGGAGCAGCACAGGTGAGTTCATTTGTCCTCGTTTAATTTTGACTACAAGGATTCCTCTAAAAGATCATCATCAAACAGTCGGTCAGATTTAAGCTGAACTAACTGGACAGAGAGTCTTTGTGACGGACGAGCAGATGTTTGAAACCTGTTTGCAAAAAAGCTGCTGAACGTCCTTTCCAGGAAACACGTGCAGTAACACTTCCAACTTGCAGGTGGTGCTGTTGTCATACATGTAAAATTCCAACACACACACACACACACATACACACACACACACAAGCAGCATGTCATGATCACAGAGACACACCACAGAGCCACGTGAGGCTGGAGCAGACAGAAACATCCAGCTGCACACGTACCCAGTTTGAGAGCTCCGGCCAGTCCTCTGATGACGGTTGCCGGGTTGGCGGGGTTGGTGCAGAACTGATGGAGCGAGGGAAGAAGGCGTCCCTCTTGTTTTCTAGCTGCAGGTTTAGAGAAAGAGGAGGAAACTATGAGAGCTGTACTCACATCAACATCATCATGAACACTTGTTTCCTGCACTGTGTTTGCACG